TTATCTTAAACAAAAAAATCTGAAAGGGAATTTTATGAAAATGTGCTCTCTCCCTAGAGTAAAAAATAAAACCTAAAACTTTTTAATCAGTTTTAGTTTTATACCCCTGTGGAAGTAGTTATTGACTGTGTGGAATTTGAAATGTTGCACTGTAAGCCATTTTAAGTGAATAAATCCACTAAGACTTCAAAAATAGCTGAAAAGTAAACATATCCGAACTGTACGGTAGAATGCTGTTACATCAATTGTTATTGTCTCTCCACATTTATAAAACATTTCTTAGTCAGGCGAACTGAGAGAGGCTTCAACTCTAATGCCCAGACATCTTCAGAATTCCATTCAACAGTTAATCAACAGAAAAACACTTGTGGGTGTTTGCTGTTAATTCACATTTAGGACACGGGTGTGTGAATATTGTCTGCGAGTGTAAACTGCAACATTCAAATTCTCAAGTGTTTTGCAACAAAAATTCCTTCATACTTCGTTTCCAAAGAGCAGATACTCTAATTTGCCTATGGTTAATAGAACGTTGAAGCAGTTTATTTGTAATTTCGTTTCGGTGCTCCCGATCCAAAACCAATCCCCCACTTTTACTTCACAGATATCAGGGGGTGTGAATGCAGAGCAGATCTTTTAACTCGGGGAGAAAGAAGTCCATGAGCACCCTGTATAATGAGTTTCTTTTGAGAGGTTACTCTGAGAGAAAGTGTGAAATGAACAGCCAAACTGGAAGCCAATTTCAACTTCCCTGAATGAAAGCCTTTAATCCAAGATGAATCCCCTTGATCTACAGTAGCTCAGGTAGACAGCGCGGGCTACGACACAAAGGGGAATCAACTAAATGCTTCTGCACTGTGATACAAGCTGTTCTCTGTTGAGCTTCACAAAGACATTTGCGATGCTACTCCAAAACAAGTTAGCATTTAACTCTGTCCCACCTCCTGCCTCCTCTGCACTTGTTTCTACTTTCCCATCCCGCTGCCGAGCGCCTCTGTTATTTTCTCATAGGTCAGAGAAAGTCTCTTAGAGAGCAGATGATGAGCTTCATTATTAAGCTAAGCAATTACATCCCCCCAGCCAAGGCCCAAGCTGGGAGCTCCCTCTATTTATTTCGTTAAGATAAGACGGATCGGGGTGGAATAGTAATGCAGTGCCACATTGCTCGGAGGGGAGGAGAGGTGGCATTTGGGAAGCAACGGGGAGGCGGATGGGCGACGCAGGCCCACTTTGTGTTCTCCCCGTATCTTTTCTGATTAACCTCCGGAGCGGGAGGGCAGAGCCAAGCTGCAGATAGCTCCCTCTGACTCTACCTGCTGCTGTCAGGCTTGCCGTTCGTATGAATACACTGAGCCACGCTGAGTTCAAAGTGTCTGCGGGTATCTGTGTGTGTCTGTGTGTGTATGCAGGGGGGTGGGGGGCAATGAGCATGCCTTTCTTTACATGTACTGCTGATTGGTTGCGGGTGGGGGGATCCGTTGGGGGGATTATCTCCATGCTTGGCGGTATGGTTTGTGATATGCTGCTCAGCGGATCCCGTCGGCGTCCCCTGGTCCCCAGGGTGCGCCTGACAGAGGCGCTCAATCCATGTAATTGCGTTGACGAGATACTCTGCAATTAAAAAGTTCCGCCACCAACACCGGCTTTACCACAGGCGGCTGAGATTTGCCCGAAGGGGAGGAGATCATGCTAAATTGTCACACCTAAGCATGACTCAGCAGACAGATTTCTCTTCTGTACTGAAGCGCGCCATTTGTACTGCGTCACCATGACATCAAATGACCATTAGACCCAGGAGTGGGGCGATGAGGCACACAAGCACATGGAAAAATGCGTCAGCTGGCAAGGTCTTGATCAGCGCTCTCCTCATAAGTCTTGATGATGGCTGCGGTGTCACCCGTTACATTGCTCTTCTGTCCTCTAATTGCCCCTCAACCGCCACATTTCTCAGCATCTAATCATCAGCAAATGTCATCTGAATGAGATGTGTGTGTGTACTTAGGTAGATAAGAGGACCTGGCTGCTGTGCAGGGCTGGAGGAGGTGACCTTCAGGGGCGGTCCGGGTATTGAAATCACAGGGAGGAAGCCCTGATGTGGGGCCCCACCTGGAAACCCCTTCGTCAAGGCTGACACTGATGACCACATCCTAATTGAAACAAATGTGCCAATTAGGCAATTCATTTCTCACATCCTCTGCCACACACTTGCCGGGCTAATTTGTATTTGTCCCTTCATTTTTTTTTTCTCCTGCCACCTCCCCCCTCCTTCCCCTCTCTCTCTCTCCCCCTCTCTTTGTGTATCACTCTCTCTTCCCTTCTGCTCGGTGAATCTTTTCATCATTACCCAAGGGCTGTTAGCGGCAGACAGACAGCTAATGTGCAGCGTGGCCCTAAACACTGCGAGGGCCGGCTCGTGCCACACGTTAATTGCCTCTTTCAAGTCGCAAATTTCCCAGGATAAAATTGAAATAAATACATAAAGAGTCGGAGGATGGGGCGGGTGCGGGGGGTGCCACCACTTGTGTCACCCGTTCAGTGACAGATGACTTTAATCATGAAAAATTAGACTCTGTTCCCTGGTCCTCTGTCTCTCTATTTTCTTATCTACCAACGATGCTAAGCGCTTTACCTCTGATGAAGGTAAAATCAGAGCGCTAAAGGCTATCTTTTAATTGTACAGAAGAATCTGGGAGCCTTTGAAGATTGGCTTCCAAGTTTTCTTCAAGGCAAACGGGCTTCAGCCTCCATATTCGTACTCCTTTCCTATGAAAAAGAAAAATTCCTCCTCTTGCTAACATTGGTACAATTGACTCAAATAGGTTTGAAAAAATATCCAATGTGAGGAATGATTACTGTGTTATGATGTTCATTATCATTTTTATTTGTGTCAATATATACCTGCAATCCATCATCCCTGGGCTCTGTGTGTCATTTCTATTTACCCAGTGTTTGCATGCCCACAGGCACTTCCTATTTGCATCCAGCCTGAGTGTTGTTTATTATAAAGGGTGCCTGTGTGCGTCCTATAAATCCATCAGCCTAGCCCATTCTGCCACACTATGAATATAATTTGCAAACGCAGCGATGCAGCTCCTTTACCAGGGTAGGAGCACCAAAGCGTCACTAAGTTTGTAATTCATAATTAGTTTTCCTCTCTGTCGCTGGTAATTGGTTATAGTGCTGCTTTTGACTGCCTAATGTCTTTAGTGTTGGTGGTTGTGCTGCCTAGCTGTGGTTATACAGGGGAGAGACTTTAAATATGAGATCTGCATCTTCTAAGAGACTTTAAATATGAGATCTGCATCTTCTAAGAAGAAGGATCAGTATGCTTGAAACTAGTTTGTATGACAGGTTGTCCGACCTAACCTTGAGATCACGCGAGAATCCATCTTGCCAGACTTCAAGCTATGTGCTTGTGTCCAGCCACAGTGGTTCAGGCCAATCTGCATCTTTGGAGAAACTACTGGAAGCTACAGCATGAGCTACAGGCATGATTTAACACTAGGTGTCTAACCAAGTAGTATTGTTGCCTAAACCTAATCGAAGTACAACTAAAAACTAAAGATAATTTGACAAAAAATATAAAATTATTACATCTAAAAAACAGTGGGAGTTGAACCCCAGTCTCCCAGATGTAGGACTTTACCTTTTACCCATTCATCAACCACTACCTTCTTCCTAGAACTGGCCCTATGTATACTATGTAAAAGCTTTTTTTATCCACTTTCTGTACATCACTTGACAAGCGTGGGGATCCGGCCAATCCTAACGCGTGAATGCTACACAGGGCGTGTCTTGGCAAGAAAAGCATTGGGATTCACCGAGCAGACTGGAGAGTATTTTCCTTATAAGAAGAGCAAATAACGCCACAGAAGGTTTTTCTTGATGCAAAAGAAGTTTTCGCTCTTCTCTAAACTGTTTGACTAAAGAGTTTGACTACGTTACACGGTTAATTGAATATTACCCGAAACTGAGTATATACAGTTGTATTGTTGTAGATCCATTTCACAACAGTATGATTTGACTGAGTTTATGGTTTCACCTGTGACCCTCAAACACCTGACATTGTTCACAAGTCATTACCTCATTCGCTGTCAATGATGCATGCCAAAAGCATCATTTGTGATCCCCTGAACAGGTCTGAGTGCACTGGTGTCCCAGTAAACTAAATGAGGTGTCCAGCTGTCAAATTAGCAGTGCTGACACTGATAGCACAAGTGTTAAAGTTTGACATTTGAAATTGGCACATTTATTTAAATCGACAGTCTGATACAAACCTGTAAACGGTAAAATGATTCCAAATTTGAGATGTGGGAGGAAACAAGACACAAAAGGTTACAGCAGCTGACACCAGAATATTATTTGGACAAACCAAGCAAATTTGTGATAGTACTTTTGTGTTAGTGGAAATCTTTAACAGCCTATAAAGTCACAACTAGTTGACTAACAGACACTCAAGCGATTTAGAGCTCCATTTCTGGAAAGTTAGGAGACTCACAAGAGACAGATGAAAAAATAAAGTTTGCAATCAGTCTGTCAGATGCTGAGTTATCCTGACTTTCAGCCCCTTTTTAACCCAGTGTGGATCAAACTCGAAAAACACTGGATCCTACATTTCCTACAACTCAATAGCAGACCGGCTAACTGTTATAAAGCGCCAAGCAGTGGAACTCCCCATGAACCCAGCAGCCATGGTGATCAGACAAGATTTAAAGGAAACCTCCAGGTTAGCCTAAATTAATTGCAAAATGGAAAAATTACATTACAACACATGCTCACTTTTTAGGTTTTACCTCCAAAAAAGTGCTTCAGATACCCGTCTCACCATCTGACCGCTGGTTCTTCCACTGCTGTCAAACTACCAACATAAGATCCAAGTTGTAATAAACCAAAATGATCCTTAAATAGTGAATTAATATCTTCTATAGAATAGATATTTAATGTTAAATTTTTTTGTGCAAAAGTGCATCACATCTCTGTCCTTTATCGCCTCTCTTGTACAGGTGGAATGGCTAAAAAACGAAGAGCTGCTGAGTTCCCTGACTGACGACAACATCGATACCCGCGCTGACCACAACCTCATCATCAACGAGGCACGACTGTCTGACTCGGGCAACTACACCTGTCTGGCCAGCAACATCGTGGCTAAGAGACGCAGTGCCACAGCCACTGTGATAGTCTTTGGTACGCTCTCCTTCCAGCTGCTGCTATTGCCTTGACAACACATTACAGTGTGCTGACACACTGTTTACATGGCACTTCAGATCAATTTGTTTGGTTTCCTGCACCCCTACACAAGTGATTAAGAGACCCATCTCCATGTTTCCACCGAAGAGCAATGTTTCCTCTTTATTTCGCTGAATGTATTATTCAAAGACTCAATTTACTGCCTCTCATTTAAAATCAATGTGTGCTTTATGAAAGGAAATAAGCCACTGTGTCTTAATCTCATTTAAAAGGAGTGTTGCTTATTAAGTATTTATTTGCCAGAGGCCTTCCAGCTATGCGAGTTCACCAGCTTTGATAGCACTGCTAAACATTTAGCTTCCCCGCGCGTTAAGACAGAGAGATCATTGAGTAAACTGCTTCAGTCAGAGCGTTAAGTGGTCGACTCCAACCTGTCGACCAGTATGAGTCAGTGTCGCCTTTAGAAATGGCAATTCTGTTTAATGGCTGTTTTCTTTGCTTTCGCTGAGTTTCACGTCTTTATCTTAATCCAAGAGCAGGGAACATTGAACTGGCAATTAGGAAAGAGGGAGCTGTATATCCACCACAATGAATGTGCTGTGCTCAATCTGCTCTAGCGGTTATGCATTGTTGCCTTGCAGTGCCTCGGAGCCTGCATAATCATTAATAACCCCCGCTCTTGTTAGAGTATTTAACTATGCCAGAGTTCTGGAAAAGTAATATGTGTTGCTTTGCACTCACTCCACCTCCTCTGCTTCTCTAACTTTGTTGAACTTTCTCCAGTGAACGGCGGCTGGTCCCTGTGGACGGAGTGGTCGGCCTGTAATGTGCCATGTGGGCGGGGTGTCCAGAAACGATCTCGAACCTGTACTAACCCGGCGCCGCTCAACGGCGGGGCTTTCTGCGAGGGCATGTCTGTACAGAAGATCACCTGCAACGCTCTCTGCCCAAGTCAGTTCCAGTTAAACTCTTAAGTTTCTGCATATTGTAACAATAAAGTACATCTTAATGGAGACAGATACACAAGTTACTTCTCTAGGTGTCAAAAGTTATTATTTGCTTGAAAATGTTTAAACTGACATGTCAAAGAATATGACAGACTGCCAAAAATGTAAAAACTGTGTTCACATTTCATTTACTAATATATTATTGCATAACAAGCTATTAATTATTTACACTGCTAGAACAGTTTGTGCTTTCCTTTGTGTTTTCAGATGACATACTCTATTGCCAGGCTTTTTTAGGCACTTTGCACTATAGCTTCATGTCACGCACATTACCATGTTAGACATTTATCCATTGCACATATCCAGGGTGGCTTAAATTACTTGAATGGGCTTAAAATCCTGCCTCATTAGCATTACAGGCAACCAATAATAAGGATTGCGAGGGGGGACAGATCCATAGAGACTTGACAACATCCCTGTACTGCTGGGCTGATAGTGCTAAGTTCTGCATGGAAGAAAAGAAGAAGAACAAAAAGAACAGAGGATTTATGATGCAAAATAAAGTGACTAGAGGAGGCAGCAGTGAGAGAGGGGATATGACTCAGTGTACTGTGTGATTCGGGGGGGAGAAGGTGAGCCGAGGTAGTTCTTGAAGAAATGAGTTTTTACCGTGCAAGAGCAAACACGCAGGGGCTCTGTTGTAGAAGGGTGAGGTTTTGTTCTCACAGAAGGCAAGGGTTATCTTGTAGGGTGAGTGGTGTACACATTCAGGCTCATCAACTTACAGACAAATCTGCAGACTGCAGTTGTATGTCTAGAATCATGTCTTAAAGGCAGGGCTGCTCCAGATTCAAAAATAGTCTTCTGGTTTACCGTGATAGTCCGAGGTCATAAAAAGAGCCTAGAGCAATGCTAGCAGCTCTATGAGGCTATACTCAAACACAGCACAGACCTTTGAGCTACATGCTAACATGCAGATGTTTAGCAGGTAACCATGGCCACCATTTTTGTGTAATAAATGAAGGAAAAATTGGTGCTTTGGCTATAATCATTATTGTGGAAATGTACCCTAACTTTGGCTGAATAATGCTCAACCAACTTAAAGGTCAGCATGTTTCGCAGATACGCAGAATCAGCATGTTGTATTAGTATTAAACAGACTTAGACTTAGACTTCTCTTTATTGATCCTTTTGGGACGACTCCCGCAAGGAAATTGAATTTCCAGCAGCTTACAAAAAGGGGAAGAAAAATAAAGAGGTATAAAAAAATACAGTACAAGATAAACACTATAAACAATAAACTCTTTGCTAGATATAGAAAGTAGACAATAAACAGTAAACAATAAACTCTTGGCTTTATATAGAAAGTAGAGATAAGAATAAAAATAAAATAAGATAAAATTCACGGAAAATGAAATCAAATAAGATAAATGTAGAGAACTGTATAGAGGATACATATAGATACATAAAGATAAATATATAGGACAGTATATGGCATTGTGTTGTTAAACAGTGGATAAGTGGCATTGTGTTGTAAAGAAGTGACATTAAGCAGAAATTAGCAGTTAAATTAAATTAAATTATTGCACTTAAGTGGTGGATCAAGTTATTGCACAAAAAAATAAGTAAGAGTAAGAAGAGTGTCCAGGTAGCAGTAGATTATTATTGCACAGTTATTTCACAGTGAGTGGCTACCACCCTGTTCCTATTGGGAGGAGCAGTCTTCACTGATGCGCTGCTTTACCAGTCCATTTGTCCAGTGTCCTCCCCCCAGCAGTGAGGAGTTGTAGAGTGGATACAATCTCCTCAGGAGTACTACCTGATTCTGTTGGTCTACCTGTACAGGTGGCTGGGGTGTGTTCCAGTCCAGTTTATTATCCAGCCACACCGAGGTACTTGTATGATGCAGCCTGCACCTCAGCAGCAGACGGTGTGGTCTGGCATTGTCAAACCTTTTGGTTTGAGTGTAGGCAGTTAATGTGACACCAGAGAGCAAGTTTGTCCAGTGTCCTCCTAGGATCTTGCCAGTCGCCTGGCCACCCGCTTCCCTTATCCAGATGGGAGTGGACAGAAATATAAGCATTTCTTCCTTATGCTGAAATAAATTGTATAGAAAGTCCAAAAAACAATCCCAAAAAAAAATTAGTCCAGTGCGGTGAGACAGGGTGAGCCAGGCCCGGGTTTAGTGTATGCTGACATCAGTTCATATCCAATACTGAATTGAGAACTTAAAATAGTGAATTCCTCTTAAACCCCTTGGCTCTACATAACCTTGGTGTCCATTTAATTTAAATTTAATTTACATATTTTATGGAGAAAATGTTATCTGGTTGTGTCTGGCTGAGATGATCCTCAACTCATGGTTTGATTTGGTGGTTTCCTAATCGTAAAAAAGTTTGACTTGTTGCTTAGTAACTTCTGCTAACTGTAACTTAGCTGCCATTAGCTAGCTAGTTGTCAGGCCCGGGGCGGTGGGGCGAGCCAGCAGGGAATGCTGACCGGCCTTAGCAGCGTCTACGGACATCATGGTAGAGGCAACGAGACCAAAGGCCCCGTGACCGAAGAACCTAAGAAGAGAAAAAGGAAGAGTGACGCCAAACAAGACCAAATCTTGCTCAGCTGACCGTCTTGCTGTTGCACTAGTAATATAAGTAATATAATATAATATTAGCTGGCTTGCTATGTATTGTGTTGTTGCACTTGCTTGATGTTTGGCTGTTTGCAAAGTTGTCAACTCACATGTACAGCTGCTTATCTTTACGACAGTGGTGTAAAAGTGAATTGCACTCACTCACAAACTGGGGGCACCAAATAACCAAAAATACCGTTTCTCACATAATGTTGCTTTAAATGTTCCTTGCCAAGTCATCTGGTGTTAACATATTTTCTGCCTGTGAAATCAGTTCTTATGTGTTGAAAGCAATGCATTTAAAAGTAACCTAAATATGTTTTCTCAGCCTAATCACCTAATCAAATGTGCAGTGTAGGAATACTAATGAAGGAACGTGCCAGAGTAGTTCGTACAGGAGGTGTTTGCAGAAATCAGGGATGACAGACGGAATACGTTTTCAGGAACAAGTTTAAAGTGGTAAACGGTACATTTAGCAGCTGTCTTCTCCACATTGCCACATTCTGTCAGTAGGGTTCCCAGCTTGAATCTGCACGCCTATACGCTATTATTATCGCGTGTAAAGTGAACATACTTTGAACGTATATAATTTGTCTACCTGCCCTGTTGCACATCCTGTACACTCACTGTAAGCCTCCACATATTGTCTTGTTTTCACAAAGAGCGCGGAAGCTTGAAGGCTGGGCTCAGAAATTGGCGAGGTCATCCAACGAGCGTGCCTCGTGCCAATTTGTTCAGTTTGTGAGGCTTCAGACTGCCAGTGCGCAGATGGGGACAGGCAGTCAGGTCTAGCTTAATGGCAAGGGAGAATGCCAGAACAGGATGAGAGAGAGATGTGGAACTGGTAGAAAGGTACATAAGTCAGGTCGAGAGAATTAGAAAGAATCTCTTTCTATCTTAATTTACAAACTTTTAATACACTGTATTAAAAGTTATAACTCGCTCAAAATGACCACCGTACAGTTTAGTTACAATAGTTAGTTCCATCCTGCATGGGATGAAAGTAAGACATCTTCCATTAGATCTACATAAACAAAAGAAATTTCAAATAATTTAACACCACATAGTAGAAAACAGAAAAGAAATGCTACCAGTTTATCCTGTAAGAGGATTTTTTTCTCTTCTCCGAATAACTGGCTCACTTTAATGTTTTGCATGTGAATTGTCTGCTCTGTCTTTATTAGAATGTCACTAATTAAACATTTGTCCAGTGCTCAGAATGAGTATGTAGTATGGAAATGAGACATAGCTTTAGAGACAATAATTCAGCTTAAAGGCACCCTGTGGAGTTTTTGACCACTAGTGGCACCAAAGTGTATAATACATAGGTAATAATAGGTGGAAACACAGGGCTTTTCACCCAGGAGACTGCTGTTCAAGTCCTTTGTGAAACCAGAAGTCAATGTTGACTACAATCTTTTCCTAAACGTTGTATATTTATTCTTGTTAACGTGATCGCGGAATGAGCGCATGTTGAAAACATGACACTGTCATGCATGGGCGACACAAAACGTGCCACAGTGGACAAGGAGACATGTGTAAAACCTGCAATCACATAATACGTTATTCTTTCAACAATTTTTCGTGCAATTGCAGTGATTGACATTCAGTGGCACTCGTGCTAAAAAGCATAGCAATGTGTCAACAAAAGGCAGAGAAGAAGGCTGCTGCTGGCTAGAAAACATGGATGTAAACAACACAGGTTTTAAAATACTAAACATTTTTAAAAGTTCTGGAAGTTTTAAAAAATGGCTTCGTATATGTTTTATGAGGTTTATTAGGCGTGAAGAATATACAGTTTTTTTGTTAAGAAACACTGAATGCAAACATGACTTCATTTAACAAGAACACTCTACAGTGTTGAATGCAGAGCTTTTTATCCCATAGGCACCCTCATTTTGTAGTCAGCAATTCAAGACCAGTATCCTGGTAAACATTATCCACTTTCTCACCTATTATCAAAATGCTCTTCTCTCTCTAGCGATAAAGTATGTCCGCTTCAAAATATTTGTACAAGCCATATAACATCACATAAATAATTCATTTTTCAAAAGACAGACATTTTAGTCTAGTTCTTAGCTTTAGTGCTAAACTGCCATGTGCCAAACCTTCATTCCATTAATCAATAATGGTGAGTGGGTGTCATTTTCTTATGTTGTGCTTATCTAACTTTTACACCCAAGCTCTACATTTATGCACATACACAGTTTCTAGTTAAAATTGCCAACGACATGCATCTTTTTTTATGACAGTGGCACAGAAAATGACATTGTCAGCCGGCATGGATTTCTACCTCTGATGAGGTGGGTGATCAATAACAATGACTCAGCTTTTGCTTTTCAAGGTGCTGTAAAGTCTGGCTTCAAAACTCACTTTGTGGCTCATGGTCTGACACAAAAGATGGAATTTCTAGACCCTGACTGATGTGTGGGTATCGAAGTTTTCAACTGGCTGCCTCTCACTGCCAATTAAAGCCGTCAACCTTAAACGCAGCCTTAAGAGCGCGGGAGGGCGGGTTATATTTGCCGTGTGGAGTTCACATGAAAAAATAATGAAGTGCAAAAGAAGAGGAATAAGAATTACCTGCTTAAGCAGAGATAAGCAGACCTGTGTCACCACCGTGGCCTGGAGGCCTTGAGGAATGACTGAAGTAGCACGCAGCAGAGAGGGAAGCGGGTGTCGACCTGTTATCAGGGTTGATCCATGTCTATGTGGAAGGAAGGAGATGCAGAAAGGAGCGAGGCGAGGGCTGCGATGAACCCAGCTGTCTGAGCTGCTGATTGACAAGTCCGTCCAGTTGTGACAAGCCAGCCCAGAGCATTGTCTTAATGATGGTCTGAGTGCGGGGAGAGCACAGAGGACGGATGAGGTCAGAGGCTGCAGCATGACGAGGCAGATGGCCACTTAACAAGAAACGGTAAAGAGAGAAGAGAATACTGATAGGAATGAGACTCAAATTGTGGAGACTGAAGTGATTAAACTAAGTCAATACAGATTGGGTACTGCATAGTCCCACTGTTTTGTATTTGTGGCAGTGACATCTACACCTAATTAGACATTGGTTAAGTGATCTCAGACTCCCTAATGTATCAGCTACTATCATCTCTTGCACTGGGAATGGCAGTAATATGAAGAGGATTATGGGAGATTACAGTATAATTTGAAATGTGATTTTTACAATTTAAAGAGAAAGAAGAAGAAGATGATGACACATTCTTCCTCTTACAAATGAATGGTAAAGTCAGTGTTACCTCAGTGAGCAACAGTAGCTAACTGACTTATGGACATAACCAAGGAGATAACAAAGCTAAACACTGTCAACTCTACTCCAGTATAGTTTAACAAAAATAGGTTTCAAGATTAGTAAGCCTCTTTTCATCAAATTCCTACCTTAACTATGTTATGTACCTTAAAAATAGTAACATCAGACCATTGTGTGTTAGGGTTTCAGAAGGATTGAATGGAATGAATGAGATGGATGTAGACAACAGGATGAGTTTTTTCCTGGGCAACTATCACATTGTTCCCAAATGATGTAGATTTTTAGGCATTCCATTATCTCAGCTGGCTTGAAAAATAGTGCATATAACTGCTTTTTTGGGAAAGAATCTCCCAGGGGAGCATGCCCCCAGACTCCCCTAGATTTGGGCTAAGCTGCTAATGTTTACAATGTCTGGCTCTGTCCCTGGAGAGCACATTAAAGGCAAAAAAGCCTGAGAGGGAAGTGCTGCCAAATGCTGTAAAATTAAAGACATCTTCATGAGCAAGGGACGTGGTGTTTAAAGAAGAAAAAAGAAATAAACTGCAGGGACGCCCTCATGTCATATCAAAACTTCCCTTTATGTTTTAAAAAACCTGAATCATGCTATTTAGGAAAGCAGGACATGAGTATGCATGGAAATAATCTGGAAAATAAATACCTGTATACTGTCTGGTGAAAGTATCTGCAGTTACTACCAGAGCTTCATGATAAGTCCGGTCAGAGCTCTGAGAAAATTAGGTACAAACACTCCAGAAGTGCGCGAAAATAACATATTTTAATATTTGCCGCTGACTCACTCTTTAAACTGAATACACTGTTTTTGACTATTTGTTAAAACCAAAGGTATCTTACAGTGGAATGAATGTGGAGATTATTATCGCAGTCCAATCCTGACAATGAGAGACAATGTTGTTTCCTGTTTGCTGTCCCATTCCACTCGCTCTCAGGTCGCCAAACAGTTCTATGTTTAATGCGACTGACGCACAGGTATCCTATACTGTGTCAGTACAGTACTGAGTCTCATTTATTGTATCGAACACTCACTAGTTTACTGTGTAGTTAATAGTAAGTAACGTTACATAGAACGTAAAGAGAAAAGTAGAATGTTGTGCACTTCTTAGGACAGCTTGCAATAAACGCGTACATATTGTAGAGAGCTGCCATGTCATGGTGTCTTGTTTACTTCCGGTACTTCCCTGGATGTCTATATATATTTGTCACCTGTTTTAATTATTTACATGTTTTATACAGTAGTACAATGGGAGTACAACATTTGCTTTGTTTTATTTATCTTACACGGATCCGTGAATAATTCATACAAGATGACTTATGGCTTATGGCGTCATGACAAAGCTTCACGGGGTAAATCCATGTACAGAGCAGTGAAGCGTGTTCACTTTTCCTGGATCAGTTTGGCTCTTTAGATCCTAAAGATCATGGTGCTGTAGCTAAAAGAGATAAACCAGTCAATGATGTTTCTTCAGTGGACTCTGCAGACACACTGCAGACAGACTTGTCTTGTGATGAGTAAGACCAGGCTGCCACTGCAGAGGCTTTAAGCCAAGCTATACTAACAAGTACAATCATTAAATCGTACAGCTAGTGTACATTAGCAATCCTTTTTGCAGTTTTAAATCCATCTATTTATTGCCAGTTTATGTAACATGACAGAGGATGAACCCATAGCGGGTTCATTAAAACTTTAATATTTGCTTCTTTTTTTAACAAAGAAGGTTGTTCTGTAGAAAACAAAATGGAACTAGGTTGAACGAGAAAATAGCACACTAAAATGTATTTCTGAAAAGACTGAAGGCAAGAAATAGCCAACATTGTAACAGAATCTCGACCCATATTTGATCAGCACTGCCTAGTTTGACAATATGATCTGAGTTTGGTGTGTTGAGCTGGAGGGACTCATTGAGAATGACCTGTCAATCACAAGGTAGCCACACCCTAAAGCACACACTGCTTTATGGTCTATTTTACTCTAGATGGGACCATCAGTTACTAAATGAACATCATGCTGTATGGAAAAAGACTGAAACAAGAGATCGAAACCATACACTCATTAGGAAACTGTTAATTGAGTTTACTGAATTAAGTGAGAAGTAGGGTAATTTCTCAATATTATCAGACTTTTTTTTCGCAGCCAATGGAGATCCCCCTGCTGGCCATTAGAAAGAATGCAGGTTTAAGACACTACCATGTTGGCATCACTTCACAGACCTGGAAGCTCTGTCCACTAATTATAAACTGTCAATGATCTGGTGACTAAGAAACTGGGCATGAGAATGTCACAGCAGCAAAAGAAAAAGAATCTTTGGATTGTGAAAAGTATCCACAAAGTGTTAAAAGTGATTCAGAGTTTTGCAGTTGTTACAGTTTCTCAGACTGTATCTATTGTTTACCAGTAGGCAGATGAGCTCATTCAACAGAATCACAGCAACAAGTCAGAGGGGAACTGTCAGGAGAAACAATATGCATACACTCACAAGCGACTGCGGTCAAACTCATAAGCACTCAGCATTCTCTCCGCATCGTACAAACACATCATTTGCATTTCAAGTAGCTGAGGAGAAACCGCAAACAAATGTGGAGTGTAGGTAGGGACTATGGAACACCACAAAGGAAGATTACCTTCTCCACCGCCCACAGACTGTATTATGGGCACCACAACTGCTGCCAAAGAATCTTCAGGCGCCATATGGTCTCCCAATATTTGTTAAGCTAAGCATGATGAGTTCTTCCTTGATCAGATGACAGAGCAAGACGGAGGAATCCCAGCTATTAGCATGCGCCAGGCTGTCTTGGTTTCATAGCCTTGCATCAAATCCCATTATATAAACAGGCCTGGGGGTTAATGGGGAGAAAATGTCTCTCAAGCTGTACCACCACCATTACCCTGTGTATTGTGTGTCATACTGAATACGTGTGTGTGCCCACTAAGGAAACATTTAAATGTTTAATGTGTGTAAATATAGCCCCAAAATGGAATTGGAGACCGTGCCTGCAATTACATAAAAGATAATACAGATGTTCTTTGTTGAAATTAACCCTAAATATCTGTGTCTGTGAGGAGGAAGAACATCAGTCAGAATGTGTTTAGCTTTACTAACAACTCTTAAGTTGACTAATTGACACGTTGTATGTTTTTTAAATCATTATAGAAAGAGAAATGTTAAGAAAAGAATTTGGTTGCCAGCTGTTTCCTCCTGCCTCCAGTCGTAGCCTGCTGACCGAAGCTAACCAGCTGCGAGATAACTCAACTGTGTGGGCACACAACTTAACTAGTTATGTAGGTGGCATTTGTTTGTGGGTCATCTCTGTGAAAATGGGTATAAGATAAAGAGGTAGCTGGCAGCATGCCATAGTCTTGATGCTTAAATCAAAGCTACAAGCTCAGTTCAAAAACTACAATTAGTTCAAAACATGGGACGCTGTGGCCACGGGAATAACAACCTCACTGATGGCTCATTAGCTTGCCCAAAAAAATGCATATTGTGGTACATACTAGGACACTGATATTGGAATGTAAAATCATTAAAGGTCCAGTGTGTAACATTTAGGAGGATCTATTGTCAGGAATGGAATATAATATTCATAGGTATGTTTTTATTAGTGTATAACCACCTGAAAATCACCTTAGAATGAACTGTTTTTCTCTACAGACACAGTGGGGACACTTTCTTTGGCTTGCCTTTTAACTTAGCTGCCACCTGCGTGCCTCAGATTCTTCTCGTCTTTCTGTTTGCCTTTTTGGTATGTGTGCAGACACATGTATATGTTAATGTCTTTGTCCACATTTGTATATATCCTCATGTTGTAGTTGATGGAGGCTGGGACGAGTGGAGCGAATGGACTGTATGCAGCAGCCAGTGCGAGAGGCAGCGGAGTCGGGAATGCAACTCCCCAGCACCCAGACACCGAGGCAAGATGTGCGAAGGGAACAGCGAGGCCACTGAGAACTGCACAGATGGATTGTGTACCCAGAGTAAGGCCTTTCTCCCTGTTGGACATCATCATCATCATTGTCATCATTTTCCTATCATTATCATCATCATATATACGCTCACTGTAACATGGCAAATCAACACAAGCATGTTTGAACAGGAGGTGTGTGTTGGAAAAGTATCACACTGTGGATTGACACAGATGCCCAGTGCATGATAATGTCAGCGCTCTTCCTCCTGTGTGCTGCTCACTTGACATATTGTATGTCATACTGAATCTGTCACAGGGTAGGAAGTGCAGACATTCACTCTTGAATGACGCTTGACGTTTGGAATGAAATGTCATTGCACTGTTTGGGTCATGCACATGCAATGACTTCAAAATTTCAATGATGACTACAGGATGGGGCTGAACGAAGCATTTTTCATATCAAGACTGTGATTTAAAGGTACGCAATTTTCAAATCGCAAGCTGCATGATTTTAATTGTAGCTTACATTAAAGGTGCTGTGAGTGAAATCGGCATTTTGGCTAGCTTCCTGTCCGTTCTTGCAGTCCCCTCCCTCTTCCCCACGTCGTCACACTGAAATTCTGCTGCCTGCGCTTGAACATGCAGAGAGGACCGCCTCTTTGTGGAGTTCTCTCTCCTGATTGGATGAAGCTAGAACAGGATAACAGAAAATGCATTCTCTGGTTGCTATGGAAAGGAGGGACTGGGAGACCCATGTTACTGACTAAACACTCTATATCAGCGATGGCTGTCAGAATGTGGAGCTATTTCATTTAACCAGAAAAATAAAGCTTACAGCAACTTTAATGTCTAAATGAACTGCATGGTTACACTTGGGATTGAAAGTGACACGTGTCTGGATCGTATTTAACAAATACTTTAATTAATCTGTTTTAAATTATCTAATTTATTTACAACAAAAAAACAAGAAAGCAAGAAATCGTCTCTCAGACCGGAGCCGGCTCCCATCGTTGTCTTAAAGGAGCCAGCATGTCGTTCACGACACATCCCTATGTTGTTTATTACTACGTAGACCACCAATATAATGATTTTAATTTATAGAAAATGATCACAATTTAAATCACAGTCCCAATACTGGTCAGAAAAAAATCACAAATTGTTCAGCCCTGCTAGAATGTTCTTATGACTATGATGCTCATTTTGGTTTCCACAGTATACGTTTGGAGAAAGTCAGGTAGAAGAGTGTGTGACTTCATTCCTCTTAAATAAATCAAACTTGTTTTTTGGACTTGTGTTGTGTTGAGATTATTAGCCGACTCAGAGGTATTTCCGAGCCTTTGAGCAGTTTGCACCTCACCACCTTTATCTATGGTGCTATGAGGACAGTAATGATGCCTGCCTGGCCATTATCAGATACTGTAACAGTCAGCAGAAGCTCTCTCTACTCAGGGTGTTGGATCTGAAACCAAACTTGCTAGTCATTTCACAGAGGCTCGGACTTTAATCACCACTTTCTCTCCTCTTTGTCTCATTCTATCTCTCTGTCTTTGCAGATCGAAAGCTGCTACATGACGTTAAACCTCAAAGTGAGTCTTCCTCTGTGGATTTCTTTCATCTTCAACTCCCCCTCCCACCTGCCACTTATATGCAGTGCCCTGAATTCTGGGGGCAAGATTTGATATATTCTAAGTTTAAAGTTAGCTAAAAAAGTCGTTTGCCTTCTCTCAGTAAATACTCTGGAAACTGAAACATCATGAATTACCGCCCTTTAGTTCACTTTGATCTGGGCAACTCCTGTTTTAACCCAAGCAAGCGCTCATTACGCATTCATGTCATTATTCAGTGGTGGACTTTTATGACAACCGCGACATCCCAGCTGTGTTTCTACTTTAAGCCAGGAGATATATTGGTTGTGACAAGTGAACATGTGCTATGTTGTGGAGGATTAATGGGTTGTAATCATTGCAAATGAGCTAATTTGACCAATTTACGGCGCTGTCTTCACATTCCTGTGGCGGCTTTCAATCACTTGCCGGAGTTTGCCCAACTAAGTGATTGTCAGGTGCTAGCTTGAGTGCTTTCATTAGCCTGCCACATTAGTGTAAAAGCCGTGCCTACTGCCGTCTTCGCTGGGCTTTAAGGAAAGCCTGAATGATTGAACAGGGAGTGCGTCAAGCTGGTATCTGGCGAGTGATCACCCTGGTAGGAATACTCTGAATGAATTTGCGTCTGATTGGTCCTCGGGACGACTGGCGACCACCAGTAAGAGCCGCATGAGCTCTGACTGCCTGCACTGCGAGATATCCATCATAGCCATTGGATATAGACCGGTGGGTCTAAAGGCAGTTAGGCTAATCACCCTCCATGTTAGCAGCTTGAGTGTGATATGTAACAGTTTAGAGTAACGGCTGGACATGTTCATTTATTCCTATCTGTGGTGCATAATGTAGCATAGAGAGATCAGACAGATGGTCTGCTCCATCTTACCACTTTCCATCCTTCTTGTTTCATTTCCATGCTGGAGACAGTGTAACACATTGTAACTCTTGCCTTTGTTTGACCTTGAATGTCTACATAAAAACAGTATTGTCTCCACTGCCCCCATCTCCTCCTGAAAGTTTCCAAGTCTTTATTAATATAACAAAGACTACTCTCTTTTATGTGCAACATTTTCAAAAAAGCCTTTTCACTTTTTTTGGCAATGCTGCTTTCATCACAGTAAAAAAGAATAGACCCCTGTGCTGTAGAAATCTCAGAAGAACACATTTACATACTGTACATTCTCAGTAAATTCTGACTGGGACCTCTATTTACATCAGTGGCAGAGAGAATCAGACCTATATTTCTAATTTCCCCAATTAGTTAAAACTCAGTACTCCCTCCATGGTTACCTGGCGTCTTGATAAATTCACTATAATGTGCATTGCTCTCAACCACAAGAATTTTCATGTTAAAAGTCTTGCAACCTCCCCTTTATAGATTATTTTAATGTGAAAAATAATCAGGAAGTGTTGAATTTTGATGACAATACCTCAAAAGAGCTCTCCACCGATTCGGCATTGCATGCTATAACGTCGTCGGACTTGTAATCGGCAGTTCCAAAACATTTTTTTATTCCACGCATTTATCTTCATTGTCAAAACCCGGTGCCTATATTTCCCACAGTGCAACTTGACTGGCAACAATTCAGTCCGAGTTTCGGGTGTGTTATGGTAGTAGTGGCTAATGTAGCCTCGAGCCACTAGCCTCAAACAGAGATGAGGAGCATGCTACAGAGCTCTGGTAAGCTCGGGTCAACTCTACACCAAGCAACAATTGTGGGGCAGTTCATCAGATCTTCATAAGTTATCTCTTATGAAGTTCATTAGATTTTGTGCTGTCCTCTGTGCAGACATAAAAGACTTTCTACAACCCTCTCACATATACAGTAATACTCCCCAAGACCTGTGAACAGTCTTTGTTGTATAGAAGTTCTCTTTTAACAATGATCCGTTGTACAGTAAAGAAAAAATGACTGGTATTAATATGAGTATTAATTGTTTTGAATTGGTGCTGTGGAAATTAACGTTACACAAAATATTGCCATGTGAGCTGTTGTTAGGCTTCAGTGCTTTTGCTTACCTGGCCTTTATTAGCAACTGGCCTTTATTGGTTCGTGCAGACCACACCCCTGGTATTATTATATTATGGCTTTCATATGAGAATTTACGGAAGCTCTCTGTTTTTCGTGTGTCTCGTGTGCTTCAGGTATGGACAGCTCCAACGACGTAGCTCTGTACTCGGGCCTGGGAGCCGGCATCATCGCCGTGGCAATCCTCGTAGTGGCTGTCATGCTGTACAGAAAGAACCACAGCGAGTATGGCGTGGACGTCATCGACTCCTCTGCGCTCGCTGGGGGTTTCCAGTCTTTCAATTTCAAGACCACCAGACAAGGTAAGAGAGAGCGCCATCAACTCCACGCTGACACGCACCGGCGACCACAAGGCCAAAAGGCGGTGTCATCAAAGACCTCTGCGACAGGGCCAACCCGGTGATTGATGGCATTTGTTTGCATCAAGCAGCATGGCTTGCAGCATCCCTATCTGCTTAGGATTTATACCTCCATAATCAGTGAAAGGACCTGTCCTTCTATTTTGACAGACCTGCTCCTCTGTTATTGTGAAGCAGGAGATAATCAATCTCTGATAGAGACCGGCATCACCCCACCCCTTCCCCACAGACCACACATTTGACTGTCAGGCAACCAATCTCCTCCATCAGATTACACTGGCCTAAACCACTGATGGATAAATGTGAGGGGTACGGAACAGTGAACATCAATTCAATTTTTGTTGTGCACAGCAATAACTTCTGTTGGTTATGTGACTGCGGCTGTCCCGGCCAGCCTCGCCACAGGCATTCATATTACTGTCACTGACACTTCTGGGTTAGCGCAAGTGATAGCCATCGTGGCGAGGGGCGATCCATCCTCGCCGCCGCGTTGACAGCGCCGTGAGAAGATCTGCCGGAGCCCACGCTGTGCCCCCCCACCCCCCTTCCACTGCTCCCACAAGGCCCGGGGAGTCGGTCGAGCCCCACCCCTCGTCACGCGACAGACAGGGTGTAAGGAAAACGGGGGGCTACATCCAGCAGGTCATCAATCCTATTTAAATAGGCCAGCTCTCCCCGCAGCCTGCCTGCTGTGCCCTCCACCGGCCACAATCACTCCTTCCATTTTCCTCTCTTTCAGCCTTGGCCGTGGCTCCCCGTGAAATGTAGAACAGTTCCTCACCCCAGTTTGTTTTGGAGGAAGTTGTCGAGGCATTGTATATTAGCCTACTTCTGCCGCGATTGCATTGGTAACATTTTACCCTCCTTTTCATAAACATAGGAAATTACACTTCCTCCAGGGGGGGAAACACCACTTAAAGTGTGTGTTTAATTGCAAATCAGTAGCTTTTTCATGCCTAATAATCACATGGGGGAAAAAAAACACCTTAAATTCTTAAAGAAGCTCTTAAATGCTTTCGGATGGCTCTCTGCTGCCGGAGTGGCTGTAAGGCAGAGTGCTGAATGAGTCTTTGGACCTGACCCTGTCTCTCCACATTACTTCTCCTTCTGAGTGATTTTTAATCAGAGGCCCAATTCCAAACCTATCCCTCAAGGTATTCAACCTGAGGTACATTTCATTAACTTCTCTCATCTCACCACTGCCATTCCATTTTCGCCGCGCCATTCTTAAAGATGCACACTCAAGCGATAATCAGATCATTCTCCACTCAACCGGAGGGGAGAAAATTTCGCAGTGATCGAATGTCAGCTGCAGAGAGGTAATGTCCACTGGGCTGCAGCTCTGACCAAGAGCTGGAATACATACAGAGTCGCCTATAGGCTCCCTGTCACTGTTGGGTTGTTTAGAAATGAAAAATATTTTCATATTTCATGGAACATTAACTTAGTGGCAATTATCTGAAAATGTTATACTATATCATATCTGCTCATGCTTTGTATCATTTGTAATGCTTGTGGAGCATGGTGACCTAGCGGATGAGAGTACATGAGCAATAACACAGATGTCACAGGTTCAATCCAAGCAACGATGTTAATTCTGTACGCTGAAATGAAACCACACTCACTGTTGGCTGAAATGACTGGTGGATGAATGGATTCGGTGATAAGCAGGAAACAATTACCAGACATTTTGAAGTTTAGAATCTGTCTAACGTAGCAGTGAATCATACGTTTATACAAGACAAAATAATGATTGTGAGGCCATTGCATCAGTTTACTGATCGTGGTCTTTGTCAACCATGAAGTTTGTTGTTTTGTAGATCAATACTGATATTAGAGGGAAAAACTCACAGATTACCAATATTAGATTACCAATATATCGGTCAGGCGCTACTTATAAATAAAACATTAAATTAAATACACTACTGTAACAGCCTCTCAGTACATTGCAACACTTCCTGCTACTGCAATACAAGTGAACTCTATCACAGTGGTAGATTCATTGATCTGTACAATAGTAATGTAATAAGCGTTGATACAAATCACAATAAAGATGGCATTTTGTGTTAAAAGTAGGAATTTGTCATTTTGGCTCTTTGCTTTAAGACTTTGAAACTATCTAGGGAAAAGTGTAATAGACAAACAGATTAACTGATTCATCAAGAAAATAATCTGCAGATCAATCACTTATTAAAGATTGATTAGTAGCAGTCCTAGTCACTGTAATTTTATTAAATGTTTTTATTTGAATTGGAGAGGCAGTACAGTTACTAAAATGTGAATACATTTCTGCTATATAATCCATGTCTTAATATGCCAAGAACTCTGTTGAGGAGGCAAAAACGACAGGAAAAGTTGAGTTTTGAAGAACAAGTCAAAACCAATACACCCCATAATGCTCATCACAAATCATGCCCCCGGTAATTAATGATTTCCCTAAAAATAAAACAACATTAGCCTCCTGCCTTGCAACAGGCAACAGCTGGGCAGCAAGGACTCAGTGACTTCGCCGTTATCTTGGCACAGCTCGTCCAGGGGCACCACACGCCTCAGTCTGCCAGATCGATGCGGCGCGCTCCTCGCTCCGTTTGGCAGCGTCGTCACATCTAATGGCCACAGATGAAGACCCCCCTCCGCAGTCTGTTGGGTCCGTACTGGGAGCTGAAGGACTCCCCTCATTTACAGAGCAGTCACCTACACCCCTCCTGGCCCTCCCTCCTGTCCTTCAGGAGGACGACTCAGTGTCCAGAGGAGCTGACTCCAGCAGATGGATTATGGAGATCAAGCTGTGTGTGTGCTTGGTAATTAAATCTAACGCTCTGACCGTGGCTCCGAGCCCTGGACCTTCTGCCCAGGTTGTGCTCCCTTACCTCTGATGCACTGGTCGCCTGCCCGGACATGTTGTTTTAATTGGTGCTGGAGCTTCGCTGGTCAGCTGCAGGACATTTCAGTAGAAGGATTCCAGAAATGTGGCTCTTAAACCGGGTTTAAACTAGAGTAATGCTACCTGAGGATACCCAGGAATTTGTATTCCTTCTGGAGCTTAAAGGTGAATTTAAGCTCAGATCTGCTATGTTTGGTTTTTGTAAAATGATGCAGTAGAATATTTCACTATATTTTGCTGCAGACAGAAATCCCCTAGTAATATTAAATGAATGTGTTTGTTTGAGTGGCACATTTTCTTTCATGTCTCTCCTGTCATGAAAAATGAAGGAATTTTGTTTTGTTTTTGTTTTGCTAAAAAAAAATAAAAACAAACATAATAAAATCTTGACCTTATTTAGCTGTATCTGGGACACCAGTGAATTTCATTATTCCATGGGAGTGCTGTTCAGGAAACACAGAGGTTAGGCTTTGATTCATTAATTAAACGAGTTCCCCAAATAATGCGGGTCCCATGTAAGCGAGGCTTTTAGGTGACTGTGTGCTATCTCTCCGTCTCTGCAGGCAACCCGCTGCTCCTCAACTCCTCGATGCAGCCCGACTTAACAGTGGGACGGACCTACAGCACTCCCCTCTGCTTCCAGGACAGCGCCGACAAAGAGCTCTTCGACCCCCTGCCCGACATCAAGGTCAAAGTTCAGAGCTCCTTTATGGTTTCGCTAGGTGTGGCCGAGCGCGCAGAATTCCACGCCAAAGCCCCCGCAGAGACCTTCCCTCGGGACCTGAGCCGGGACTACTGCAACACCGCGGACAGACGCAAGAAGGGCCTGCTCACCCTCAATGGGCCCTTCAGCGCCGGCAAAGAGCAGCTGAGGACCACCGGCGTATTCGGCCACCCCGGAGGCCGTCTGGTGGTGCCAAACACCGGTGAGTTTCACAGGCAGTCGATAAAAGCACAGACTGAGTTTGTTAGCAGAAAAAGCACTTTCTCAATCTCTTCTTTTTTTGTTCAGCTCACACACCGTACACTTGGTCTCCATAATGAGAGGCTGCAGTAACTTCTCATTATAGCAGCCACCATAAGCCAGCAATGTTTAGACACAAAAAAACATTTTCCACCAATTTTTCTCCACTTCAGTGCTGCTTGTTGTTGCCATAAACGGTCTGCTGTGTGTGCTCAAGCAAATGCAGGCTTTCTTTGTTGGGTTTTGTCGGCACATAAAAAAGTGAACTTTTCTCAGCTCTAGGAGGGGGTACACGGATCCAGAGCAGTGGCTTCCAAAAAGGGCGAGAATAGATCAGCATATTAATAGTGCTCACCAAAACATACAACACATGAATGTTTAACTTAATCAGAGAATAAAACAAGTCATACAATAAACAACATAACATAAACAAAATAATAGAAACCAGCATGATTCTACAGTGGCCCAGAATGGAAAACCCAAACACTGGCTGTAGATAGGGCCTTTTGCGGCCAGCATAGTTCCTACTACAAACTCACAGCCCGTTCTCATTCCCAGGTCATCAAATACAGATGCGAGTAGTGTTCAGTTAGATGCAATCTGCAACTTCACCACTAGACACCACTAAATCCTACACGCTGGTCCTTTAAATACCATATATTTTTGGTTGCCAAAAGCACCCTCTGGTGTCTCCCAGGGTTCAGGATGCTCATGGCTTCATCTCCTAACAGTACAAGTCATTCAACCTGGTCTGGGGTAAAGGTTCTAGTTAATTTGCTGGCTATACCTTCTACCTAACTACTCTAGCAAGCCTGTTCCTGAGCCTGGAGTTCAGGTGACCAACATGTAAAGTGGCGACTCAATCAAAGTGACTCACTTTAAAGCTATTGAGTCTCCTAAGAAGATAAAGAGGTTTTGCGCATTCCTGGAAAATATTAAAGCTCAGACAGCAGTGCAGGGCACTGTTTCCCAAAAGGACCTTGAAGGTGCGTAGATTTTTCGTTTTATCTAGTGGTATAGTTGCAGATCACAATTAATTTGCTTCACCCACCCTTTCCAAACACGATGGAAAAACTATGGTGGCTGCAAAACGCACAAAAATATGTCTACAGCCAGGTTTGGTTTGGTTTGTCACTTCTGGGCTGCTGTAGAAACATGGCTCTAGATTGGGGCGTTTTTCACATGATTTGTGGCCACCGTAGTTCCTCCTTTGCACTTGGAAGAGGAGAGTGAAACGAGGGAGTTGCAGTCTTCAACTGCACTGTTAGATGCCACTTAATCCTACACACTGGACCTTTAAAGCAATAGATTTTTGAGGAAATATGCTTATTTACTCTCTACTGTCTGTAAACTTAATATAAAGCTGCAACCAGCTGCCGGTTAGCCTAGCTTAGCTTAAGACTGGAAACAGTTAAAAAATCCACCTAGCAGCATCTCTAATGCTCCCTGATTAAATTGTTTGTTTAATGTGTCAAATTACCTCCTTTTGGTGTGCTATAATGCAGAATCATTAATAATGTATGCTCTGCTTATTGTGTCCATAACTTATCCTTAACATAAATCATGCATGTGCTGTATGTGCAACACACATATACAAGCCATAAAAACATGTCAAATTTAAAGAAATACATATGATCGCATACATATGAAAAATATAAAAAATATAGAATTTAAAAAAAAATCATCTTACCTTCCTCGGGTCCAGTTTTGCAAACCTGCACCTTCAAAGCTCAGTACTGGAACCAACCCGTTACCTACAATTAGTCAAATCAGAATCCACCCTGACTCATTAAGATACCCAACCTGTGATTAAACGCACGTTACACACACTATTACGAAGCATAATTAACAGCAGGCTACCATCTATAATGCTGCTCACTAAGCTGCTGCTGCTGCTGCTGCTGCTGCTGCGTCCACACAGATTATAGAAAGTTGTGCTGTTGGGAAAGTGTCTGTCTGTTGGTTCAGCACCTGTGCTCCTGCTGCAGCTGTATGTTGTTTCCTCAGGGGCGATGTGCCAAGCTTGCAGCTTGCATAGTAACAATAATCCTGGTAGCTGATTAAGCTTGATAATAATTAGCTGATTTAGATGTTGCTTGCACAATCATTTTTGTTTCTGCCCGCCCCCCCCACATTTAGCTAATTTTTACTGTGCCCTGTGAACTTCTATAAATATATTTTTTTTACCTGTTACACAACTTTTTGTGTTACAAGTTGATAAAAGATTTTAGCAACATGCATTTTTGCTGCACAGCAACTCAGCTTGTTAAAGTAAGTCACGTTCTTATTATATCACAACTAATAATACACCTACACACTCCTTAGACACCACATATTGTAAGCTGTTGCTAAGATCCATCAGTGCCGTTGCCAAGACAGGTAGCTGTTTGTTATTCCTCCACATCCTGCCTCTCTCGGGCAAACAGGGGTCAAACTGTCACTGTGTCCCGCCAACACAAACAGAGCGACTGGAGCAGTTTGCATGGACCGTTACAGTTGTCACCAGGTCAACAGTCCGCACGTACCCTTGCACTTACAGCCCCCCTCCTGCGCTCCTTGTGTACGTGGCAGTGGCCCTCGGCTGGCGTGGAGAGGTGGAGTGAAATCAGCCTCCTGTGGTCGTCTTTCAGGCTGAGGGTCTGAGTGAAGGAGCCGCTGCCGTCAAGTGCAGCACTCACACGGCCTGTCTGCAGGGACCACTATTCATTAGACTGAATAGCCAGCCATACACACCTCTTTAACGCAGATGACTGGAGCTCTCGTTACTTTAGTGACATGGAACCAAAATAGCAACATCCTTGCATCTGTACAGTTAAGTTGACTTTTAAAAGCAGTCTTTTAAAGAGTGGAAAAACTGCAAAAAATATATTTCCTCACTCAACTTTAGTAGCATCCATGTAAATCCTTTGTAAGCCCAGGTTGTGAAATTTCTGCCGTCTCAATACAGCGGTAACTACAATCATTGGTGGTGTTCACAGAATTGAAAAGTGGTATTTAAAAAGTTCAGCAACAACATCTGCTTCCAGAAAACAATGTCCTGTTACTCTGCAAAATCTACAGACTGCACTTTGAACATTACTAATTGTAACTACTTTCCACCAAAGAAATAGACCCTCTAAAGTGACCAAGAGACTTAAGAAAGCACATACAAATGGACAAAATGCAAGCACAAGAAGAAAAGATCTTCACTAAAAAATTGCTATAATTACATAAAGCACAACAGCAAATTAAGAAACACTCACCAATCTGGAAAAACACGTGCAGCCTAAAGAAACACGCTGCAAACAGAAGAAACCCAGGCAAATATAAATACTGCAAGCCATTTCAATACCAACTAATGGGGTAAACCATTCACCAGTGATGCTGAATGTTTATGTTAGTAATAACATTGTGATTGTCAATATAACCTAGGATGTTAGTCATACAGCTAGCTAAATATTTGCTAACTATTGTTTTTTTTTTTGTTAGATTTGAGTAAAACCCCAGAAACTTCTGTTGTGTTTATGTTTCAGCATTACTGCTGGTGTTGTCTGTATGTGCAGCGCTTTTCTGTATGTCGTGGTGGAAGAGGGGTTCTCCTGATCTGCACTTCTCTTCCGAATAGTTCCCATTTGGAGCCAAAGTTGTTGTGTTTCTGAACCATTCATTTTACCTCCACTTACTATCTTACCATCACATCTTAGCTCAAAACTAATCATGGATGGAAGCATGAACGTGACTCATAGCAGGCTGATATTGAAACAAAATATTATAAAATGTTATATTTCAGAGATTCCTATGCTTACCACAAGAGGCAGCTCATGTACCTTAACAAAGTTTGACAGCCAGTGGTATAGAGCTTTAATATTATACAACCCCCAACAGAATTTCCAGAAAACGCACATCAACACACACATTCACACATTTTTTTATATGTGCGTACATTAATACTAAAGAAGAAAATGTAAGTACATGCCAAGAAACGGTTCCCACAATCTAAGCGTTGCCTCAAGCATTCACAATATTTGGTTTGGTGAGAAAAAATGATCATAAACAGAACTTATTTTTACAGGAGAACTCCGCAGGGTTCCTTTAATGTGTGTACAGTTGGGTCTTTTCAGTGTATTCTTTTAAATGCATATTTTTTGTCAGAGTGCAGACGATGTTTGCTTCATTTGCTCGTTCTTCATGCTTCGTGCTGTTTGGTTTTTTTTTTTGCTTGAACCGACCCTTTAAATAGTGCTATACTTTAAAGATGTGCTTGTTGTACTGTTGGCTGAGAATCTTCACATCTGTCTCTGCAGAGCAGCCGCCGCTAACATGTGACACAGAATGTTTATTTAATGAAAACAAACGAGTTAAAATGCACACTTCAAAGATGGCCGACGTCTCACAAATATTACAAAATATTCACTTTCAACAGAGCTGACAAAACCAGCTTTATCTGTCATCTCCCACTCTGCTCCTCTGCTCCTTTTATTTGTTAAAGCAGGTCTTTTATATTCCCTCCTCTCTTCAGTGTGAATGCTTCACCATTCACACAGAAGCAGATGAATAATGTCAGGCAACAGTGGCGGGGCAGTGTTGCTCCGCAGAAATCTCCACTTGCCTCTCAAAAGATGTTGCATAATCAAAAGTGTAGCGAGCGTTGCTGGTTCGGGAGATCAGAATAAATAGAACAGACAGTTTTCTTTTTCCAGATAGTGTCAGACAAACTGTGTTTACAACTTCATTCAAATCAAATATCGATTCATCCATCTATATTGTGAACAGTACACATTTATTCCAGGCTGATCAGTCTGTAGATCCTGTCTTGTTTGGTAGTTCTTAAAGTACTAGTGAAAACTGTAGCGGCCACTCAGATGATGTTAGAAAAACAAGCTTTTTTGCACGGTTCATCCAGACTGTTGATCCAGTCATCTCCATATTCAGTGGGGATCCATTCTTGACAAATTGTGTTTTAAAAAGTTTTGGTAGTCCTTATGGCTAGTCAGTTTTATACATATTTAATGATATGTTCCCTTGAGTGCAAAGCCTGATAGTGATCCAACTGGAGACAAATCAAAAGAGATTGAATTGGCTTTGAGTCAGGCCCAAATCTATAACGACAGTCAGTGAGAAAACATCACTACTGCAGTGGGCCGATCACAATTCAGCAGACCATAGACACTCTTGTGTGTGTCCACTTCTCTTTAAACCTGCAGTATGTAGGGCACCAAGTGAGCCTGTGCAATTTCCTAATTAGACCACAAATCATTTAGATGTATTTCACAAGTGGGCTCTAAAACTGTGAGGGATAGAACAGAAATGAATTGTGAATACACGCAAGACGTCATTTTGTATCTCGGGAAACTGAGACTGAATGGGAAAAGATAGATAAACAGAGATAGACAGGGTGCTATGTTTTGCAAACTCCTCCTACACCATTAATCCAAACCTCATCTGTATCCGAACAAAGAAAGTCTACCAGTGGATTACTTTTACATTGTGAAACATATTTAACAAATGAAGCTGTTGTCTGATAAGAGGAAGGGAGGACGTTGAGGTTGATGTTCAAAGCTTGTGACTGTAACGTGGGAGGCTGCTGTTCACAGCCTGTTGTGTACCAACAGTCAATGTTGTTTTATTTTAACCACGACTATGAAAAAAGCAGCCTGTGTACCTAAACTTAAGAAACCTTAACCATAAACTGAATGGAAACAGCAAATTTCAAAAGAAGAAACATGGCTTCTGTAATTTAAAGATCCCCTCCCTCCTTGGCTAAGGTTGGTTATTTACAGACAACGAAAGGGAATGACAGCTGACCGATCAACCTTAATTTATCAAGGTATTAGAACGCACAGGTTGAGGCACAGCAAAATAATTACTTGACATGTCTAATTATGCTTGTTTAATATGAAAGAAGAAGAGTCATGGCTGTGTGTTCAAAATGATCAGTGTTTGCATGGGCCATGATATGTGTTTTTTATAGTATTTCTATTTCTGCTAAAAGTCATATTTGAACATTTTGTTTTGACACTTAAGTTTGGTTCACCTCATACATATTCCCATAAACCCTGCATGTACGACATGCTGTAAGCCCTTATTTTGCCCTACACTGTCAGGCGACTGGAGATGTTGACGTTGACGCATTTGTGTGTGTTTTCCAGGGGTCAGCCTGCTGGTGCCTCATGGAGCCGTGGCTGAAAATATGTCCTGGGAGATGTACATGGTGATCAATCAGGGAGAGGCAAGGTGAGGCCAGAGTTTACCCAAATATCATTTCAAGCATCTATCTGTCTGTCAGTGTCCCTCTATCTTATCATCCATCTCCCCTGACTCTCCATCCGCTGTCCTCACTGTCCTGGTTCTCTCTAATTATTTACCATCCGTTGTTACTTCCATCACAGCCGAAGCGTTAAGTCAGTAGCCGTTCGATAGGACCTTCACTTCTCGAGACTCTGTTGTCTTACTGAAGCAGATTATAGAGTTGCAAGTTTAATACGCTCTATAATTGGTGGCTTAATTACAGCAGTATTAGATTCAAGCACGCTCATATCAAAGAAATATGTTTTCTTACTGTTTATTGTCTGAGCTGAGTTCAGCTTAATGAGCTTTTGTTATTTATTATCATGCCTACTTCACTCATTCTTTCCTCCAAGTATGACATTAAAAGATTTTCAAGCTTTAAAAGATAAATTAGAGGATTTATTGTCACTGGATTTAAAGACTATAATAGGAAGGCAGGCCAATCTGAACATACTGGTATAGTATTAAAGTAAATGAGTTATGTCTCTGTCATTGATTTTCCTTTCAAACCATTAGCTGCAGTGCTTTAGTGCTGATCCATTTATAGTTAACTAATTAGCATATGAAAGCAAAACATTTTATTTTTTATAATTATATTGGGATATTTGTTATTTATTAGTATTTATAGCAATTATATGATATGAATAAGTTTAGTTTGTGTTTGGACTAAGCTGGACGGATTTCTTAATTAGATTCTGTGTAGACAGTATGCTGAGGCAATAGGGCTGTGTAGTCTGGCAGTACAATATGTATCATGATACAGGGGTTACGATTCAATATATTGCGATACTGAAGGAAAGGCAACGTATTGCAATTTCTTTTAACATCCAACATCATAGCCTTCAGTTTACGTTTACGATTACTGTAGTGGTTGGGGGTTTATGCACTAAAATCAATTCAGTGTCTTTAAGAATCACACAACAAAAAATATCGTGATACTCAAGTATATCGATATTTTCTTGAGGGAACACACCAGAAACCTTTTATCTGTGTTGCTGCCGGTACACTGTTACATAGCTGTATTATTCAAGTGTGTCCACGGCTCTGGGAAGGTCAGTCCAGAATAGACTAACCAATAGCCAATAGACAGGCCTGATCCAAGCCATATCCTGCCCATATATTTGGATTTGCAGTTGTTACATGCAAAAGCAAAATAGATGAATTGAGAGCAAACAATGTGAGAGAGCATCATCAAAACTGGGGAACTGGCAATCAGGAGAAAGCTTTACTTTCAGTAAAATAAAGTTTTCTTCTCAGTGAATTAGTGTTTGATCTCACAACTGTTTTTGAAGTATTTCTTTAGCTGCAGTGCTGAAGGTTCACTCTCAAATACATTATATGTGACTCTCTATATGCTCTTTATATATATATATATATATAAACCCAAACAATTAGAACATTGAAGACATCCCACACAGCATTTCTAATTATGTTTGAGGTTTTATTTAAATGCTAAAGCATAAGGATGGTGTTATACTACATTCCCGACAATAAATAAACTAACATTGACTGTCTCCCACTACTGTGTGTGGGCATTGGTTTCTAGCAAATGTTACTCAAACAGAAGGAAATAGTGCATTTGTTGGGGACTACTTTCAGCCCTGGATCAATACACATTTGCAATACACATTAATTATCGGCATTTTCAATCCATTCATCATCAGTCTTGGCCCTAAAACAAACAAAAATAATGTATTTGTGGGCAGTGGTTCATACAGAGGGTAGATGTGTGACCCTCCCTATGGCCATCCACACATTTCTGTGTGTAAAGCGGCAGGCTGTGTGACAGATGGGCCCAGCAAGCACTGCAGCCTATCTTCCCACTCCCTATAGGAGTCCTCTAGATGTCACGATATGGGTGTTCATTTTCCAGAAGCCCCTCACAGGTGGTAGTCTGGGCTTTGATGTCCCAGCTGCTGTGGAGAAACTCAAGTTCCCGTTGCGCGACCCCAGGGGGCTCTGCAATAGAGTCCTTCATTTAGCCAACGGACTCATAGGAAGCAAAGTCAAACCCCCAATCCTCCAATCTCTTTTTCGTCCCCGCCACTCTGCCGAGAGTCAATATGTAGTTATGTACTCCACTCGGTGTCAACAATGTGGCGCTCTGGGAGAGAGTCACGACCCGGGAAGCTTGTTTAAACGATGATGAATGCAGTGATGAATGGAGCGTGCTGCACTGACGGACATGCACGGCGGAATAGAAGGCGCAGACGTCTCCTGAGGCCTTTCATCTCGGCAGTGCAAGCATTATGTATTCTGATCACAGCTAGGTAATGACCCTTGGATGGACTGAGCTTCTCTCCAGGGGGGTTTTGCACGCTCTTCCCCGCGGAGAGCCACAAGGGTTTCCAGTTTCCTCTGAAGTGTCAGTTTATTCTCACACCCGCTCCGCTCTAACAAAGTCACAAAAGAAAAAAGACCCCACAAAATGCACACATTAACGGTAAAAATGACAGGGCTGTGGATCGGCTTGACTGAAATAATAAGGTGCAAACAGCGCCTGTAAGGACACAGAGTCTTTGTTAAATTCCATTTTCCCTTTAAAAGAGTTATGATACATGTTTTTGACTGACCTCAAAGAATGCGGAGCAGCTCTACTTTGTTGTCACATATGCTATAAAGTACATAAAGACCCATGGATCTCTAGTTTCTGCAGCAAATCCTCTTTAGGCAGTATTGTTGAAATGTATGTGTAATCCATGATGCCTTTATCAGTCTTTACAAGAAGGTCTAGAGCTGCCTTTATCTTCTGTTATAGATTTGTACCTGCCAGCATAAAGCGTCTGGTTTTTCCCACTGGTTTATCCACCTTTGAAACACTTCAAAATATTTCAGGCTCCAACCTGACAGTATTTGGTTTGGACCACAGAGGTGCTTTTCAAGTGCCTATTTTTTCCTCCGCTCTGTGTGAGCGGAGAGATGTTTACTGTAGACACCCATATTTCTCCCTTAGGTCTGTTGTGCTTGTCATCTCGCCAGCTGTCAATCACTGTCTACATCCTGGCAGGCCGGGGGGACATGCAGAGAATTGTATCCTTTCTTTCCCGCTGCAGCGTCCGGCCCCAATCCCTGTCCAACCTACTTTTCCACACCCCGATAGAGTCCCATTAAAGCTTCATTTTAAAAAGATGTGTGGTTTGAGCTTTTCAAAGGCTCATCTAAATCTTTTTGAAGGTGTGGTTTTGCTTAGGTCAGACATATTTTCCTCTGAGGTTTTATGAGTGCTTTGTATTGTAAGATAAATCCCTCAACCTACTGAGGCAGAAACAGCTTTTGTCCTGGTAGGAAAAGAGCTTTTAATGATGAAACTAGTTTCCATATGTGTGCTTTATGAAAGGGGCCCGGTTGAACATTTGGGACATAGCACTGTTATTTATTGTCGTCTAGATGCTCCCGGTTAAGTTTTATTTAATAAATCAGAAAAATTCTCTGAACTCAAAGTGCATTGAAGCTCTATGGAGTGTGAGGGCTGAAATGATAATCTAATATACACGGTTGTCAGGAGAAGTGCACCAGTGCGTAGGTGTGACATGGCTTCCTGTTCGCATGCCTGGCCCTCCAGTCAGAGTCCAGGTTGCCCACAGTGGCTGACCCAGCTGATCTGTTTTTCTGGAAGTGGCAGCTCCTGCTTTAAGCCATCAGCTCTCATGGTCCACAGATCTCACAGCACAGATCTCTGGACAGTCACACACAGTGTTCATGGTTTCGGTCCAGAGTGCACAACTCCATGTCCCCACCAAGGTGACATCACACTTTAGAAATAAGAGCTGTGAAACTTCAAACTGAGGTCTATCTTGATGGTTGGACAGGTCATCTATCCATTTACAGAATGTCACTGACATTCCCCCTACTTGTGTGTTATGCTGTCTGGCTCATGTGATGTAACATTGTTTTAGGATCCCCTCTTATTGTACTGGCACTTATTGTGTACATGTTTCTATGTAAATAACTGAAATGTAATATCCAGCTAGTCAAACTTACTCAAAAGCTCTGTCAATACAATACATCTGGCAATACAATACATATCATGATACAGAGGTATCAATATATTGCGATATATTTTATTTTGTTTCTTTAATCTAATTGTAGAAAAACTGTCATAGATTAAAGAATTTAAAAAGGTTTAGCAAATTGTTTTACAACCAGAGCAGTGGGATCTGCATTTGTATTTATCACGTCCCTGTACCATCCAACATCACAGCCCTCAGTTTACAACACTGCTAGATAGAGGTTGGGGGTTTAAACACAAAAACCGAAAGTTTTTGAGAATCAATACAGTAAAACAAAAACAAAACTGCAATACTGTAGTGCATCGATATTTTCTCCCCCCCCCCGCAGCATTTACTGTTATCATTACTGAATTATTCAAACTCTGTGAAAGAGAGCTGAACACTCACAAGTTTACACATACTGTAAATTCTGACCTTACTTAACTCATGCATAAAGAATCTTTAATCTGAAAAAGGCTTCTGTTAGAAAAATGGCTTTATTTGTAATGTCCCGTTTTAATATGTATATGTTATTATATTTTCCTGTCTACTGCACTGCTCCCATTTATTTTGCTGTTGATGATGATGATTCATGCACACTATTAGCTTCCTCCTCTTCCTCCTGTTGTCTTGATATTTTCAAGATAATGTAAGTTTCCACAGCATTAATTCTAGAAACACAAAAGATAAGAATAATAAATAAGAACTTCACTAATACGTTCCAGTCACTGCCACTTTTTGTTGTTTGTTCGCTGGTAAGCTTTCCCTTTTCTGGTAGACTTTTATTGTGAAACATTTGCAGGAAGTGTTTAAGGAAGTAGCTTGACAGCGATGGAAAAAATGACAAAGTAAAAACGGGCTTAGAGCAGAATATTATTGGGTGGGTCATTTCTCTGCTGTCATTTATGGCACTTACTTTTAATTATGTGGTAACACTGATACATACACTACTATACTATACTATATATATATATATATATACAGGTGTATAGTATCGTATATATATATATATATATATATATACTATACTATACACCTGTGTTTTGTGGTAATTATAAATGGTGATTTAAATGTCATAGATACACTTCAACATGTTTTATTTAAACAGCAGAGAATTGTTAAATGTCCTTGTACCTCGAAACACGACAGTATATCTCTGACGATATATCCATGTACTAGTAAAAATTGTCACATCAGGGTAATATTAAACATAAGCTTTTAATTTGTAATGCCAAAGGTTTACATTTAGGATTGATGGTGATGCTAGAGAACAGTTCATAGAGCATCCAGAATTGAAAAAAATCATCTTTAAGGAAGAGCAAATGTGCTTATTACATTTTTAATTTTGTGTGGCAAAACAGAGGTGCTAGAGGAAAGGCCAAGAGGTCACCAAGATCATTACGAATCATCCTCTGAGGACCACGGATATTAACAGCAAATTCCCTGAAAATCTGGACAGTCGTTGAGATGTCTTGCATTAAATACAGTGTAAATGGTTAGGCCCAGTATTGATTGACATTGCAATCCCTAAGGCCCTACCACAAAATATACCAAATCTTCAAAATAAAACCTGTGTTAATGACACGTTTAAAGGTTTTATTCCTTTATTTTGTGAGCAATAACACCTATAAAAAGGAATGGAGATTAAACTGGACATTGATTTTCAGTGTGGTCATCATCTTTTCCATTTCCTGTTGAAATAGACCCATGACTCACCTGGAATCCACACACAGACACACACAAACACACACATCTCTGTCCTTTATTGACTTTATCAAAACAAGAAGTGAACAATTGATTGTGAGGCATTCAGGTTCTTTTGATGAACTCATTACCAACACAGCAGTGAGCCTGAAAGGTTACAACGACAAGTTGAGTATACAGTGCATATACCACAATATGTATCCATTGATAATTGTATTCTAGTCAGGATGGAAAAGCCTTCGAAACAGCAGTTAAAGCACAAGACATTAAACTTCTCCATACTGTCCATGGCAAAAATCACACATTATTGTGATCAATATTAATAGTGGTGGTGGTAATAAATATATAATCACAACCCTAACAGCCATAACATTAAGCGTTTTTTTGGATATGAGTCAAGAATCACTGTCTGCAGTACAAAAGCAAGAAACATACACAATGGTTCAACTTGGCAAGGTATACCACTGTTTGTGTGCCAGCTGGACAAGCGCTTCAAACATTTATTCAACTTGTTCTGTGATTTTGAACGTTATTTTTAGTTATCTGAATAGCACTCTCGATGATAAGTGACCAAATGGCATGGTGAGTTGTTTCAAGTGATTAGCCTTGTTGCTTACACTCATTTTCCATGTCAAGTGTAGTACACCAAGGTCTGGGACTAGAGATGAAGTGGCATCAAAGTTAGTGGAATAGTCATTATGATGGTATTATAAATCCAGGCACAGTGCCGTGTGATGTTTTTTTAAACAGCTCGGTGATTAGGTTAAGTTATTGTAAATGTTTTACAGAGCTCTTCTTTCAATCAAGTAACTTTGCTGGTCCTTGATTACTGAAGTCGATTTGATGAATGCTTTGCAGTTCAGACTTTGCCGTTATGAATGATCAAAGCCGAGAGAACTGAAACTGTCTCTGCTGGATATTGCAACGCACAAAGCTTCACCTCTAGATGCCTGTTTGATTTATGTATCCATGCACCGCATAAGGTGTCTGCATCAACTTAAAAATGGACAAAAGCACAGTGGGACAAACAGGTGGGAGACTACAAGCAAATAAAGGTGAAGCTAATGGAGCGTGCTAATGTGTGCATTTATTAAGTCCGCCATCTCCTCTGCTGGCCCAATCTGCCACTTTGCACGGCTCCCCGGGTCCATGAGGAGTGAGTCATCGCTCACTTTAAATAATGTACCTCGTCTAGGGGCTCAAGAAGCTGCCGTATAGAGCCCTTCATCGTGATGACAAGTGGAACTGAGAAGAGTTTATGCTAGCCTCAGCCGGCTTCTGTAAGGTTGCCGGACTCTTGGGCCCCGAGCTGCAGGCTGCTTAAGGAGCAGGTAATCTGCTCCTTGCCTACACTTTACATTAAATGTGTGATCAGGCTCAGGGCTGTTGGCTGAGGGATCGAGAGCTCTCTCCAGACCAGTCAAGAGCACTGTTGACATAGGAGAAAAAGTGATTGTGAGCGAAGAGACGCAGCGAAGAGGGTGAGGTGGTTGTGCAATGAGATGGTACCTGCAAGGTCTAATAGCAAGAGACAATGGGTCAGATGTTAAGGCAGTAATTGGGAAGTCTGGAGTGGATGTCAGCAGCCAGAAAGAGCATGAAGCAGCTTTTAATTCAGAGTGGTTTTAAGACTGGGGTCCAGGTACCAACAGGGCTCCTTGAGTAGGTTTTTAAGGGTTCACCACAAAAGGAGGAATGGAATATTTAAATTTTTATCATATTTTATGGAAATTGGGACAACAAGGCAAGAAATAGGGTTTTCTGTTTTTATTGATTTTAACTTATAGTGATCCTAGTTTGATCACTGATTGACTGTGAAGACTTTATAATCTTGAAAACTTAAAAAAAACATTTAAAAAAATTTCCTTTGGACAAAATCCTCTTTGGTGTAATGTGCATCTATTGTGGGGGTCCTTGACATGAAAAGGTTGGGGAACCCTTGAGAAAAGCTACTGTAATGTCTACTGCCGTATCAAGTCCACTCTTTCTGTTCTTTCTTTCTAAAGAAGGAGAAATTAATTATCTGTACTGAATACTCGCTTCAGCCAAGTACTAAATAATGTATTTTAACTACTGTGGGAATGTGGCAACATCACTAAATTGACATTTGACAAGAAACACAAGCGGTCAGACAAACTTAGGTTATAAACCAACCTCCAAACTAAAAGAAAAAGACAATAAGAGCTTAAATTCTTTAAAATTTTCTATCTTAGACGTTATTGTGTCATTTATGTTGGATTAAGTGGTTTAGATGATCATGCTGAACTGTTTACCGTCTGATCATCTGACCGCTCATCTTTATTGTCCCTTTGAACTTTAGTAGCAATGTAGCTCTGTTTGCAGATCTCACCAATTTCTTAATGGGTACAGTGTTATCATAATAGAAATAATGGTCAAAAATACAAAGACCATGTTGTAATAAACTAAAATTGCTCTTTTACATGCAGCACCTCTGTAACAGCAGATTGGGCTGAATCTTACACTAATCCGCTACTGAACCATTAGGCATTCCTCTTCATTCTCTACCTGTTAGTTTTAAGTCATTGTGTATTTTGCACTAATGCTGCTGCTCCCATGACGTCCATAAATCACTTCTCATTCAAAGCAGGAAACCCTAACAAATCAACACTCTCAGATCTCTGATCTGTGATGACTGATGTGAGCTTAGAGAGCTTTGTTCAGGCGTTGATCTCCTCTGTCATGATCCCGCCTGCCCTTTTTTTCGAAAAACCAACCACCGCTGCTGCTGCCACCATCCACTGGCGAGACCTGTTTGTTGTAAGCCGCTTTTAATGAGTGTACTCCAACTCGCCGGCAAATCACAGTGACTTTTTCACCTGCACTGGAACAAATTCCAGCAGCCTGGCTCTGTAGAAATAACTTGAACTTGAGGAGTCAACATGAGTTCTTAACGCAGCACCAGCTCATATGATGGCTCTGAGATAATAAATAGAAACTCTTTAATATGGAAAGTCATTTAAAGATAACAGCCTACAATCTTAATGATTACAGCAAGAAATATGCTGCCATTTACAACACCGGGCACAATGTGGCTGATGGTTTATTTTTATCACAGATTATGGATCATGTAAGTGAGATTCAAAAAACCTCTTCTTGTTCCTACAGTGTGATATTTGACACTAGAAGGATGTTTTCACATTTATCTGTAGTCTTTATGTCTATAGTTTGAAGTCTGTCCTGGTCCAGTATGCAACTTGTACAGTGTGATGTAGAAACCTGAAGCCACCAGTGCACATCCACTGAGAATGGACTTTAGAGTGAAGGAGGAGACATCTTGTGTCCAGCAGGGAAACTTTAGAAATGAACAACATTTGCATGTTCATAGAGGTAGAAGGAGTAGATGAGTGGATGTTTTTCAGAAAAAAAAACACATCAGACACACATTATTGTTCCAAGTAGACTATTATAGTCTACTATATACTATATATATCCTAATACATGATACATGTCTGGAGGGGATCTTTAAGAGTAGTGCAGAATGCTCAATATCAATAGCATTTATGATCCTGTAAAGCACTTTCATTCACTTTCAAAGCAAAGTCATTCTGCTGATGCGTCACCAAATGTAAGCACAGGCTGTGTCTTTCCTCTGCAGGAACACAGCTTCTGTTTATGTATTTTTTACAATGTGCCTTATTCTGTGTACCTGTGTGTGTCACTGTGTGTTTAGTGTCCAAACACTGGAAGGCTGTGAAATCCTCCTGGGCCCAGAGGTTACATACGGTCCTCCGGGTCTGGACCTCTTCTGCCCAGTGGCCATGACCATCGCTCACTGTGCCGAGGTGGACGCCGAGAACTGGAACATCCAGCTCAAGAGGAAAACCCAGGACAGCAAATGGGAGGTGAGAGCTGCAGGCCCACACCTGTCAAGTACAGCACAGCCCATCAAGATCTAGGTCTGGCCCAGACATGGCGCTCGGCTCTCCTCGGTTGTCTTTTTCCTCGGTGGCTTTATTGTTTTTTTTGTAGCTAAATGTCAACAGGAATGAATGCTGGGTAAACCCCACCAAACTTCAGCTTCCACTGTCTGTGTTTGCAATATACAGGCCCCCACCGCAAAGACTACACTGTAAATGATATTGACGTGCAGATGCATTGATTTTGTAGACAGAGTTAGCACCAGAAAAGATAAAGATTTTCTACAAATAAAAAGTAGACATACTATTGAGGTCCTGCAGTGATGTCACCATATTGAAGGCTGCAATCAATACGCTGTGGCCATGAATAACAGTGGCTAATTCACTGCTTTTACATGAATCAGTATTTAAATGTTTCCACCCACAGTTGTTCGAGGAAGGCAATTACGTGTGTGTTCATTTGACTACCATCCTGCTTAAAAATAGCGTGTTTTTCCATGTAACTCCAGCTGCAACATCTGGATCTAGAAAGCTAGTGACAAAAGACTAACTAAAGAAATCAAACACTTAGCTGATGCGTCTGAACATCATAATAATACCTTTATGCTTTCCCTTGAGTTCGGGTTCAACCCACTTGAGACCCATCTGTTCCTTAATTAGATAATGCAGCTATGGCACATATCTCAACCGGCCGCAGGCTTATTTTGTTGTAAACCTTTAAACTGCACTGATGTATGTTTTGCACATAACAATGGGTGAAATGACTGTATATGGTGAAAAGGATCGCTAATTAAGATAATTAACATCCAACTTTGTTCCCCTTTGTAAGCTTTTCAGCATAACTTTTGAAAGTCATCATTTATAGAATGTAAAGTCTCCCAACTTTAAGCAACTTTAGCCAAAACAATGCTTTGTTCTTCTTGTCATTTAAACCTCCGCCATGGCACATTGAAGTGCTGATATCCATAATAGGGCTGTATCAAATGTCATTGTTTTTTATTCGAAGCTTCTATTGAGGTTTTCAAACAAAACTTCAAAAGTCTGTGGTCATGTTTGATGACGTCATCACCCTAGGAAAAATGTAGGAAATCTTAAACAAAAAAGTCCTTCATCAGATTAAATGTGTAATTTTTTAGTCAAGCTAGGGAGGAAGGTGAGGGAATGCCGTTAGTGAGCACAAAGCAGTAAATCCCAAAAATAAGAAGACGTTTTATGTAGGCCTGTAGCGATGCGTCGATGACGTCAACACGTTGTCGTCAAAATTACGACAATGTCATATGTTTGCGTCAACACTTCGCCACAGCTCGCCACAGCTCGCCACACACACGTGGGAGACCAAAACTTTGCAGAATGGAGGACTAAACAGCAACCTCCTCACAGAATTCCCAACAAAGCCCTGCAAAAAGCCCCAATAAAAGAAAAAGCCCTAAAAAAACAGCTCGCCCTAAATCATCGAAGGAATGGGAATACTTCAAATTTAGTTCCAAACGTAAAGGTGTCGTTATTTGCGCTCTTTGCCAAATGGAGTCGGCATACCACACCAGCACAACAGCAATGTGGGAGCGTCTGAAACGGAGGCAGCCCATTGTCACTCGTGAAGGAGACAATAACAGTTCAGTACTAACGTTGGCTAAATTCATTTCATGTTTGTGTGGTGTGTTGTGTAGCTTGAGCTCTGAGCACTTCGGTGGTGCTAGCTAACTATCTTAGCTCTCCGTGCAGTTTGTTCGCGCTAGGTTAGTAGCTAACGTTAACGTAAGCTAGCTACTGGCGCCTAGACAGCTGTGTTTAGCTAACGTTAGTTATCATCTGATGTTGGCTTGAATGGTAGCTAGCTTACGGCTGCAGAACACAGCTATCTATAGTAGCTAACGTTAGCTAATGTGAACTTTAGCTACTAACCTAGCACGAACAAGCTGCTAGATCTAGCTAACGTTAGCAAGCAGATTGCAGTAGCTTGTAACATTATCTGTCTAACTGAAAAATAATCGTTAGATTAATCGTCCAATTAGTCGTTAGATTAGTCGACTAATCGATAAAATAATCGCCCGATTAATCGTTTAATAAATAATCGTTTACTAGCGTTACTATCGTTTACTACCCTAGTTTTATGATTGTTTCACAGCGGTTATGTTTCAAAGCACAAATAAACACAGCCAGACCTCCGCATAACCCTGCGGGAAGGACGAATTGCCAGATGTTGTGTGAAGGAACCGCTGTGTGGGTTGCTCAGGTTCCCTCATCACACAAAACCTTGACACAGACAAGCATAGGAGACAGTGATGGAGACACGTGTATATATATGTAAACGATTATCTCGTGTAAAACTAGCTACCATCAGACATCTAATGCCAACAGGACAGAGTATAGCTTACAGTATTTTCTCCCTATTTTGTCCGCATGGCAGCAATAACATCAACTGAAGGACCTCAATATCAACACTGGATGTCATTTAACACCAAGATTGGTTGATATTTACCTGGTTGTTTCCACCCATCAATGGAGGACAGTGAGTTTTGTAAATGGACGTTAAAGTCATGTTCCTTGACATAAGATGCCACGGGTTGTTGACTCTGTTTTCTCCCTCTGTTCGCTGACCTTTATAAAAATATACGTGCTTTAAGTGATAAAAGCTCCAGTTAGTCAGCGTGACATGCGACTGGTGAATTATGTGTGAGCCCGTACTGTCAGGGCTTTGTGGGTGAGCTCAATGATCCGGCCTTATGCTCTCTGTGGGTCCAGAGGGTGACATAAGGCCACAGGAAGGTAGTGCTGAAGGTCTGACAGGAGGAAAATAAAGAAACAATTACAGCGTGTAATGGCCAGGAAGAGGCATGGCTGCTGTCACTCAGTGGGGGTGGGGGGGGTGGGGGGGGGGTGGGGGGGAGAAGAGGTATCGATTAGTGGATCAGGGGAAGACATGGCGCGTTGAATTTAGATGTGAGGCAATCAGGAGGAGAGTCATTGAGATTGTTTCTCTGCTGACCACGACTGTCCATTTGCTGAACACCCCCCCACACACACACACACACACACACACACACACCGTCAATACAACTCTCACCCGATACTTTGCGTTTTTCTTGTTAGTTTCGCTCTGATGCTTTGGAACAGGACACATTGTATCTTTCCAGCTCTTTATGTGTATGTGTTTTCAACAATGTCAGCTTCTTCCTCTTTTTCCCCTCCAGTGAAGAAGATTGTTTTTACTGGTCTAGATGCAGTCCAGAGAGCTTAATCCCAAACCCAAAGGCATAACAAGCCCAATCACTGTCGTCACTTTGCATTATTTGTTTGTGTTTTTTAACAGAAACCAGCAAGATGATAACAAGACTGGGGGGGGGGGGGCACAAATAATGAAGAGAATATTCAGTCAGGCGGTAATGTAAATGTAAATCTGATGTAAAGTTCTGGCAAGCCGAGCATGGGTCAGGATAATGAATGCCGCAGGTTTGCCCCTGGCTGTTGTGGTGGTTGTCAGCACATAAAAGAGCTTGTTATTTACAGGAAGACCAGCCGGATTTGCCTGCTTTCTACATTGTCTTCTTCTGTCCTGAATAATGTTTTTCTAGCGATAGAGATTGCTGCTATAGAGCATATTCAAGAGCTGCAGCGGCCTCTGCAAAAACTTTTTTAGTATTACTAGCTCAGAGCAGACAGGCTTTTCGATGTGTTTTTGGTGTGTTGGAATGCATGTTCAGCATGTAGCTGTAGTTTCTTTTAGTACTAATAATAATACAAATAATGATAATAAAAATGGATTACATTTATATAACGCTCTATCTTGATACCCAAAGTGCTCCACAGAAACGGGGACAAACTCACCTCAACCACCACCAGTGTGTGGCACCCAGGTGGGGTGATGCACGGCAGCCATTTTGCATCAGAATGCTCACCAAACATCAGCTTGAAATGGAGAGGCAGGGAAATAGAGCCAATTACTTTGGGGGATGATTAGGTGGCCAGATGGAGAGAGCCAGGTTGGGAATTTTGCCAGGACACTGGGGAATCCCCTACTCTTTGATGTGGGATCTCTAATGACCACAGTGAATCCGGAATTCGGTTTAATGTCTCATCCGAAGGACATTGTCACTAAATCCCTATTACAGCACATCTGCAACCCATAGAATAGAATCAACTTTATTATCACATATACAATTATACACAGTAACCTCTGCATTTAACCCATCCTAAGTACTGCAGCCAGTGTATGGCGCCCAGGGACCAACTCCACATCTAAGCTAAAGCCTTGGTCAAGGGAAGTGACTGCAGAAATGAACCTTAACATACATGTTTTTGAGTGCCCAGAGCACCCGGAGAAAACCCACACAGACACGGGAAGAACATACAAGTTCCACACAGACATGCCCCAGCCAGGAATCCAATCCACACTGTGCTTTGTGCTTTTTAAACAAAGTATAATAAAGCTTATTCACATTTATTCAAAGTCAAAGGCAAAGTACAAAACAGTCTCAAGGTCTGCTGTTCTGGAGCTTTTGAACATATGACAGGATCTTCCTCAGCAAAAGCAGTTGCACATTTTTCATGGAAATGTACATTTGTGCAATTTTCAATTTTTTCCCAAGCACTTAAATAGAAAATAGAAAACTTTGTCTGCTTTGCAGCTGCTGCGTTCAAGGTTAAGAGTGCAGTCTCAACTAAAGTAAGGCTGTTTCTGCTGCCAAAGTAGAAAGAAAAATTACAGATAGTCTGAATAAAAGAAATAAATGCCCGATAAGGTCTGTCTTAGATTATTCTTATCTAAATAAGAAAGCTTAACTGTAAGTATACATTTTATTCTTTTATCATTTCACTGAGTGTAAAAAGAAACTGAAGTTCATAGGAGTATCTATTGTCAGAAATGGAATATAATATTCATAGGTATGTTTTCATTAGTCTGTAATCAGCTGAAAATAGGAATCATTGTGTTTTTGTTGCCTTAGAATGAGCTGTTTTTATCTACATAGGGAGCAGGCCCTCTTCTA